ATTTTTCCTCTGTGGAAATGCATCTAAAGTTGTGTCTTGAGGTACCAGATTGCCTTAATGAGACTCCTTATCAGAGAACACAGAAGTAGAAGTGGTTGTCATCGCTGTAGTAGCCGCAGTGAAGGGATATCTGGACCTCCTGTACTGGTGGGAGAGGGAGATTGTTCTGGATACCATGGCAGCTAGAGAGGGAACGGACAGCTAGATATTTGACTAGAAGGAACATACAAAAGTTGTGAGAAGCTCATATTGCCCAAAGGAGTTTACTGACTACTTGAAAATTAATTGTTTTCTGTATTATTATTTTTTAACCCTAGTTCTACATATCTTATTAACTAAGGTAGATCATATCTTACAGTTAGTGCTGCCCAAAGTATAGCCCAATGACTGGCATCTGTCTGCAAACTCTTAGTTACCAACATTGAGAGTAAAATATTGAGAAACTTTTGTAGCAATTGACAGGGTACTTTTACAACTATTGAATCTAATACTAAAAAATGAGAGCTGATGTCTAATTTGTTCTATTTTTCTAGTAATTCCTTTTATTTGCTTCTAGCCTATTTTATAAAAGGATTGGTTTAGATAGATTGGAAATTTGAAAATCAGGGGTGTTTTTGAGAAACAGTACTGTTGTTTAGAGAGCCGGGTTGCAGGGTATATAGACTTGTGTGACCTTTGGCAAATGACATAATCTCCTGGTTTCATTTAATAAATTGAGACTTTATAGCAGGCCTGACATTTAGTTGCAAAGCCAAGTCAGGAATGCAAAAAATATAGTAATTTTTACTTTCTTTAATAGCAAGAAGGTGGGGAATTCAGTCTTAGTTATGATTCCCCGCCCTCGCCACACACCCCCCCCCCCCAGGGAGAAAATGAGGATGAAGCCGCTGTTCCAGTCTCACTGCCTGAGCCCTCAGCGGTATCTTCACTCCAGGGTTCCCTGCTGCTGAGGAAAGGGCTCCAGGTGTCCAACCCTTTTGGTGTCCCATGTCTCCATCCCTCCATGTTGCCTTGTCACCTCAGGGCTGTGGGCTGCTGCCTCTGAGTCAGCCCGAGTGTCAGCCATCTCTCACTCCCTGAGCTTGACCCTCTGGTTCGGGCACTCAGTTCCCTCTCTTCGTGAGCCCAGACTAGGGAAAACCAAGGCTAGAAAGGAGCATATTTCCAAGTTACTTTTTTATTGGGATGGGGGCTTACAAACTTCCCCTGAGGCAAGGAAGCACAAAATGGCCAGGGAACTTTGAGGGAAGAAGGGAAGGAGGAGGGTCAGCAGAAGAGAAACACAAATGACTGTTGATGCATTTACCACTGTGAAATGAGGTCAGTGAGCCCTTCCTGAGAGGATTATTTGAGGATTAAGTGAGTTAATATATTGAAAATGGACTGCAGAGTGCTCAGCACACAGTAGGTCCACAGGATTATTAGTTCCCTGCCCTCCTAGAGGTCCTGCCTGATTTCCAGGTCAGGAAGCCCACGGTCCTGCTTGTGCTTGCCTGTTGACTCATTTGTGTCACACAAGCCGTTTGTGTTTGGATTATTTCTTCCAGTTGTGGTCTTTCTTCTCCTCCTTTTCTGGGGTGGGCTCTAAACCAAGGGTGCTTCATTGGGCATCTGTGGAATCCAGGTTTCCCTTCCACAGGTGGTACAAAGGGTCTGCTAGTTTGGAACTATTATATTTTATTTCCATTGTTTTACAACTTACTCTTAAAATTTTAACATATATTTTTTTTCCTAGCAAAATCCTGTTCTTCTCAGCAGATGCTAATTTAGTATATGTGGGGTGGGGCATGAAGCTCTGCAGTTCTGACAAGCTTCCAGGTGACTCTCGTACTGCTGGTATGAAGATCTGATGATCTCATTTACACCAGTAAGGCCAAAGAGACTGCTGACTTTCTGAAGGTGTCGTCCCCCCCCCCCCCCCCCCCCC